GCTCGCCCTGGGACCAACGGAACCTCATCGGAAAGTCTGTCTTGGGAGGGTAAATATGTCCCAATAACACAAAGGCCTTGTGAAATGTGGGATGGGCAGCTGTAGCAGCTGCAGAGACATATACACCATCCCCCAGGCCGACAGACTTGTTCAGCCTCTGTCTTGCTGTCCCTGTCTGCAGGAGCAAGGCTTGGGGAAAGACCTGTAGGCAAAAGACTAGAAGAAAAAATAGCACAGTGGGAGATGGAACTGTTTTGTACCGCAGATGTCCAGCTTGACCTCCTCTCCCTGCAAGCCAGCCCTGCTGCAGCTCCCGGGATCTTTTCCATCTCCTTCAGCCAGGAATCCTTAGGCAATCGGTAGATCTCCAGCCAAGCTTTTGTGCTGTCTGCATTGGGAAACCATGTTGAGCAATTGGAAATGAGGAGAAAAGGTCTTTCAAGCAAGCAGCCTCTGTTATCTCACATCCTTAGAAGAAGATCTGGATATTTTTTGAAATATAAAATCCCCGTAAACTCCATGCAGCCCACCTTTCCTCCCACTTAAGGCTTGACATGCTTGACTAAGACTAACATCTCAGCCACCAGCTCAAACCCTTGAGGTCCCACATCCACCAAAGAAATTCCATGAAGCGACTCAGTCAAAGAATTTGATCTGTAGCCTCTGAGGTAAAGTAGAAAGTGAGACATGGTCTCACACTGTTTCTCTGTGGATGCTACATATCTCATTCTCGGCTTACATCCAGGCAGATTCCACCAAACATGGATCCAGAAAAACAGCTAGCAGCAAACAGGTTGACAAAGGAAGCTGCCATGAAACAGAAGAATGCTGTAGCAAGGAGTTTGTTGTAGTGTTTATAGAGACAGTCTCCATGCTGTCTGGCTTATGTCTGCAAAGAAAATTCTTCAGGTCTATGTATTTCCAGTGTAAAAGTGAGCCATAGCAAACAAGACGAAGAACTGAGTTCTGTGCTTCTGGAGAGAAGAGGGAAACCTGCACTGAGCCTTCTGGGAGTTGGGAACTGCACTGATCAGTTCCAGAGGGCTCACTTTTAGGATCAGTGCTGATCCAGACCTGGCCTTTTGGAGAGGACAGGGAGTAGCAGGAGCAGGTCTCTAAGCTGGAGGGGGGACTGGGAGGGTTAGGAACAAGATCCCTGGGAACCCAGAACACTCTGAGTGTTTTAAAAGCATTGCTGCTGGCCCCTGTGCAAGAACACAACAGTCGTCACCCAATACACCATGTTCCTGCACTTGCCTTGCAGCAGGACTCCCGCGTAATCACCTCCCCGGGACAGCACCACCTCCACACAAGTAGTTCGCTTGCTGATGTCCTCCTGCCAAAGAAAAATGGGCTGGCATCAAAGCCAGAACACTGATTCAGAGCGCTCCGTGGCCTTGCGCAGTTCTCAACAGGGTGAAGGCCAGACTGATTGCTGGAAGAACAGGAATAAACATTAGGCAGCACTCTTGGAGTGCTGCTGCCCATGACAGAAATTCCTGAGGGCAATTAGTACTCCTCATGATTGATTACTTACCAGCCTTTGCCCAGTGTCTATGGAATTAACTCAGTACTTACCAGTTCATTTAGGATTTTAACGAGTAGGAAGCTTTCCTCGTGAAAGCAGAAGAGCCAGACAAGCCCTGGAACAGAAATACAAAAGTAACAGTAGTAGTAGGAGAAAAGGGAACAGATGGTAGCCATGCTCTTGGGAGATGGCTGTTACAAGATCTGCAGGAGAGTGAGCAGGACTACATTTTTTCCTGGGCTCAAGGAAGAATATCCCACTGCTTCCAGCACTAAACTTTTGCTGGCTTCCTTATGCCAGCATGGGCAGCAGGTCATACCTAGCAACAGTTCTTTCTGTCTGGTCCAAGGTGCCCCCAAAATTTACTGCACTTCACTCTTAGCTCTGTCCCTACCTCTGCTGCTCCAGAGAGGATACCAAACCCACACCCTCTACTAATCACAAGGCCCCAGGGCCATCCTGCCACCTTACAACCTGTTATCTAACACCCTCTTCTGCAGGGCTTTCTAGGAAATCTGTCAGCCATTCTAACGTTCCTCCTGATTTAGCACTCTTCCATAATGCAGCTGCCAACTCCTCAGCTCCAGAGCACAGCCACCCCCAGTTAGGTGAAGAAAATCCACGTCACACTAACCCATTTCATCCACAGCAAGCAGGACATGGCACTCGTTCCCCAAATCCGAAGCATGGATGGCACAAATCTCTGTCCTGACCGCTTCCCAAGCACAGACCTCCTTACAGTCAGACACCTTGAAGGTGGCCAGACCCACGGACAGACCGACAAAGACGTATTTTCCAGACACTGCAAGGCAATTGGCTCTTCCAGTTACCTACCAAGAAAGGGAAAAGATGAGTGTACCCAACCGCTTCCCCAGTGGAGGATACATCAGCCATACTAGTGATATACTCCTAGCTTCTCACCAACAGAAAATGCCACTTTATTCTACAAGAGAAAAACCTTTGCACAAGCTTTCATCAGAAGAGCAGGGAAGGGGCTCTCATCTGTGTTACAGAGATCATTCTGTGTTGGGACTGTGAAAGTTTGCTCCCACCTTTCCCCTTCCAATAAATAGAGGGGGCTTTAAAGGCCCAGAACTTGGGAGCACTCAGCCCTCCCACTGCTAACACAGAGCTGAGACGGGATGCTGAGTTCCTCCGGGCAATCACAGAACACCAGCAGACGCCAGCGCGTACTCCTGGACACCTCCACGTAACGATGGGGAAGGCAGCACTGCCCCACTGCTCACAGGGGTCCCGTCAGGGTATTCACCGTAACACAGAGCTGAGTTTGCTCATTTTTATGCTACTGACTAATTACCCTCTCGGCAAACAAGGGTGGAGCCAGCCTGAGAAGCAGAAGGTGAATTTAGGGCTGTTTAATATCTGCTTCTCTTTTCAGAGAGGTGTGATAAATGGGTGGGAAGCAGAACCTGTCCGACAAGCTTAGAAGCTGCAGCCTTTTGAAGTGAATCAGTGAGATGGTGGTGGATTCGGAGGAAGGTGATGAACAGAAGAACTTAAAATCAGCTGAATGGGTAGTCTATAGAAAAACTGCTACCAAGATTAATGCTATCTCTGCTGGGAGGAGCTCTATACCTGGAATTCAGCTGTTGGAAAGCATTTTGTGGGCTGCACCTTTAGTTTTCGTGCTTCTCGGAGCATCTCCCTTCTCTCAATGATTTCCATAGCATTCTCAAAAGCCAGCGTCACCAGTTTGTTGATCATCCTGAAGGGCTGAGGCAACGCATCACGCTTTCGATCGGGATCCTGCAGGAAGAAATCTCCCTCGTCATCCTTTAGCCAGTCCTTTTCAGATGGTGGAGGAATCTCCAGGGGATGCTTCCGGGCGTACGCAGCCATGGTTCTGTCCTTCCAGGTGGAAAACGCAGCACAGAAGCCGGGAGCACAGCAGACGCAGAAGAACGAGGGTGCTTTCAGTACAGACAGCCAGAGCCACCCTGTTCTGCAGAGCTCACTCCTACTTGCCGCGTCGCCTCTGGGGCGCGGGGGTTTTGTCCTACTCGGGGAGCGTCGGCCGCACGATGGCCGCAGGCTGCCTACGCGGCAACGGGGCACGAAAGCTTCGGCACGAGTTAGTGTAGGAACCACGGCAAAGCATTCAAACATACTTGCTTGTTCTTCACGAAGAGACTTCTTCGGCCTGGACAACAGCCTGACGGTTAATGAGGAAAGGGGGTGACTTCAGTGGAAGTCACAAACTCCGTTTCCAAGCCACCGGCTGCTTTCCGAGCTCCCCCCCGGGAGCCGAGGCA